GTCTGGTTTTACAGAGTCCAGACCCTCTGGTTTTTACAGAGTCCAGACCCTCTGGTTTTTACAGAGTCCAGACCCTCTGGTTTTTACAGAGTCCAGACCCTCTGTCTGGTTTTTACAGAGTCCAGACCCTCTGGTTTTTACAGAGTCCAGACCCTTTGTCTGGTTACTAAATGCTCCAGTGGAGGAATTATTTTTGAGAGTAAACAAAATCCTGAATGTTCTGCAGTTTAGATGAGATAATTTGTTTCATTTTTCGATTTGAAACAACCTAACTTCACCCTGCAGCTTAAATGAGCCATGAGGTGTAAACCTGAACCTCATGGCTCATTTTGACCTGTTGAACCTGATATTTTAACCCACTTTTAACAAGTTCTTTCTTTCTAACAGTTTCGCTACAAGAGCCGAGTCTACAGACAACCTAACGTTGATGAGAAACAGATCGCCAAGCTTCATACAAAGGTTAGTGACAGTGTTGCTGCTCTCATGTTAACTGATCAGAGTTTGATTTAAAAAATAAAAATAATGCTGCCACACCTGTAGATATTTACAGCTACTGACTTTCCTCTAAACATCACACATCTTTTTCTGTTTAAATCTAATTATCCATTTTGAATGTTTACATMCATCCATTAGTATTTGGTGTTATTTTAAATTGTGTGATTTGGGTCAACTGTTTTGGGTTTCTGTCCACAAACGTCTCATAATAATTTATTGGTATTATCTCTTTGTTTTTTGACAGAAGTAACTGAGTCGTCTTAGTTTTACACGTCTTTTCTGCTCTCAGGTCTTTGCAGCAGTCGTCCTCCAACATCTTTGTAGTGTACCTGTGTGATTAGGGTCATTGTCCGTTTGAAGAACCCGTTTACACCAAAGTTTTAACTTACTGGCTGCTGCTTTAAGAAACTGATACAATATTTCCACATAATGTTTTTTATGTTGCTYTCAGAGTAATGGCTTTTTCTCACTTCTTGAGCTTTGACGTGTCAGTACAGGCCTTGTTTCACTGTAGATACAGACTCTCCAGTGTCATCACAGGTCTTTTACTTTTGTTTTAGGGTTAAAACATGTGTTTCCCAGCAAACCCTGCTGATTGAACACAGAACAGGTGTGAGCTGTGAGGTGTCAGGACGTTACTGTGGCATTTATYCTGCCGTATATCTCTTTAAACAGACACTCTGACTCCGTCATGCTCCTGGCACTTATTCCAGAACATGAACCAGAGCTGTGGAGCTGACTTCTCTTCCTGATGTTTGGCTGATTTATTTTTATTTCCTTAAAGCAGTGCCTTTAAGTGCATCTAGAGATGTGCCTTGASTTAACCTCCCTTTCAAATCATCACAAAAACTTCAAGATGATACTTGGTGTGTTGAAATGTGCTGATTTATCAGCTGGTCAGCAGTAAGTTAGTTTAGTCTAAAAGTTTTGATTGGTTTGGAATGATGTCATTGTTTGCTGCGTTGAAACCCCAAAAGTGCAATAAATCTAAAAAGTTCCATTGGCCCTGTGATGGACTGAGACCTGTCCAGGGTGTACCCCGCCCCTCGCACTGTGACTGCTGGATATGGGCACCAGTGACCCACGCAACCCTGAAAAGGAAGAAGCGTGTACAGAAAATGGATGGATGGATGGATGGATGGATGGATGGATGGATGGATGGATGGATGGATGAAGTTCCATTGCAGTCTAAGTAAATCTGAAGGGTTGAGACTAAGTGTCTGTGCTTTTTGACCCATCAGTTTTTGAGAATCACATTTAAATCTCGTGTGGTCGACCAGCTAAACTTCCKTCTTGGTCATTAATATCATTTTGTTGCTCACCTGCACCCACTTTGACCCGCCTCAGGAGTCGCCTCACCTTTATAATTTATCATGAAGCAGATGTTTCTGCTTAAAGAACAGCAACAAGTTTTGGAAGCAGCTCAAACCTGAACTGAATGAGACGATTAATCTCAAATTGTATCAGATTCTTTACTTTAGGATTATTTTTCTTCTTTACTAACTTTCTGTAATTATTAAAGAAAATCTGTAAAAAATAATAATTCATATCAAACCAACAGTTTTCTCCTCCCTGAGGCTGTTTGTGTCCCTCCTACATAAATAAAATCTGATTATACAGTTTGTGATTGTTATCCTTCTGCCTGACTTTGGGCTGCTGGTGTCTTGTTGTGCAGACAAAGTGTGTCAGCTTCCTGCTGAAAGTATCTGACAGCAGCTCTGATTCTGCCTCCAGATACAGGACAGAGAGGACAGGAGGCAGAAAACAACAGGAACATTTTTACACACTCAGGTTTTCAACAAGTTATTCATGTAAAGCAGGTGTTTATTTATTGACACAGAGATAATTGTTTGGCTCCAGGTGAGTATTTTCAGCTCATCCTATCAGGTGTGCTGCTTCTGTTGGTGAGATTCACAGGAACAAAGCTGACCAGTGTCCACTCTTCCATCTTGTTTTAGCAAAAAGGCAGAGCAGACGCTGACAGTTTCCTCYAGAGTCTGGATAACAAGGCCTGGAGACACACAAACAACCTGAGGACACACTGCCTCGGCTACATTAAATCAAACACACCACAGAGACACTGAGACGTGAACACAATCCCCTGACATTTCCACATATTGAACTGACGGTGAGTCATCATGGTGACGGAGCTAAAACCTGACTTTAACTGGTCCTGTCGAAAAAACTGTTTCAACTCTGGAGAAAACACATCTGTGTTTACAATTATAACACACAATAACTTTCATTTTCCTTTTATTTAACTGTGACAAAATCAAGTTTAACCTGAAAGTTAATCAAGCTTTTCACTAGTTAGTTAGTGAGTTAGCTGATTGGGTTGTTTGTTGGGTAGTTAGTTGATTGGTTAGTGAGTTGGGTAGTAAGGTGTGTAGGTGGATGGATATTTGGTTGGTTGGTTGGTTGGTTGGKTGGTTGGTTGGTTGGTTGGTTGGTTGGTTTGTTAGTTAGTTAGTTTGTATGCTAACTAGCTAGCTAATTGGGTTGTTTCTTGGTTAGTGAGTTGGGTAGTAAGGTGTGTAAGTGGATGGGTATTTGGGTGGATATTTGGTTAACTAGTTAGCTAGTTAGTTAGCTAGTTGGGCAGTTAGTTGAGTGGTTAGTTGGTCTGTTGTTTAGTGAGTTGGATAGTTAGTTGGGTAGTTAGTTAGTTGGTTTGTTGGATAGTTGTTTGAAGTTTGTCCTGTAGGAGCCATCAGCCTGTTGATGTAGTTGTTGATAATCGATCATGAATAAAATAAACTAAAAACAACCAGAATAAAACTCAGCTGAAACATTTCCTCTTGGCTCTGATTTGAGGCTGGTGGTAAAAGTCCTTGTTTGTAAAACTTATTTTGACATTTGACATTGAGGACATGTCTCTGAGGAAATGAGTCTATTTAATCTGTTTTTTTCTGTTTCAGTGAGTCACCATGATTTATAAAGTATATAAAATATATATAAAGAACAAAAATGTTTTTACCTCGTGTTGCTCTGCGTTCTCAGAAACACATTAAATCTAATCAAAGATCATTTTGTAAAGTGATGCTAACATGTTAGCCGTACAGTTCGTGTCCACTTCACTGTCTCAGGACGGCCTGCAGGAGGTTCCTACAGATGTTTTGGCCCCGCCCACTCTACTCTAACCCTGTGATTGGTTCTTTTTCCTGTCATTTACTGGTTCTCCTGTAGATTCTCTGTCCTGACAGTGACGTTCTGACCAATGAGAACGCTGCTTCAAACATCTTTCTGCTTGGAGACAGAATTTTAAAAGAACCTGATTGGAGAATTATATTTCATCATTTAAAAAGTAGAGTTGTTTACAGATATTTAAATAAATTCACAAAAATACAGTGGTTTGCAAAAGTATTCATACCCCTTGAACTTTTCCATATTTTGTCACATTACAACCACAAACATAAATATATTTCACTGGAATTTAATGTGAAAGACCAACACAAAGTGGTATACAATTGTGAAGTGGAAGCAAAATTTTACATGAATCAAAACATTTTTTACAAATAAAAAACTGAAAAGTGCGATGTGCAAAATTATTCAGCCCCCCTGAGTCAATACTTTGTGGAGCCACCTTTTGCTGCAATTACAGCTGCAAGTCTTTTAGGGTATGTCTCCACCAGCTTTGCACATCTAGTGACTGCAATTCTTGCCCATTCCTCCTTGCAAAACAGCTCAAGCTCAGTCAGATTGGATGGAGAGCGTTTGTGAACAGCAGTTTTGAGATCTTGCCACAAATTCTCAATTGGGTTTAGGTCTGGACTTTGACTGGGCCATTCTAACACATGAATATTCTTTTTTTTAAACCACTCCATTGTAGCTTTGGCTTTATGTTTAGGGTCGTTGTCCTGCTGGAAGGTGAACCTCCGCCCCAGTCTCAAATCTTTTGCTGACTCCAACAGGTTTTCTTCCAAGATTGCCCTGTATTTGGCTCCATCCATCTTCCCATCAACTTTGACCAACTTCCCGGTCCCTGCTGAAGAGAAGCACCCCCAGAGCATGATGCTGCCACCACCATATTTGACAGTGGGGATGGTGTTTTCAGAGTGATGTGCAGTGTTCTTTCTCCGCCACACATAGCGTTTTGCATTGTGGCCAAAAAGTTCAATTTTGGTCTCGTCTGACCAAAGCACCTTCTTCCACATGTTTGCTGTGTCCTCAACATGGCTTCTGGCAAACTGCAAACGGGACTTCTTAAGGTTTTCTTTTAACAATGGCTTTCTCCTTGCCACTCTTCCATAAAGACCACATTTGTGTAGTGCACGACTAATTGTTGTCCTGTGGACAGTTTCCCCCACCTGAGCTGTGGCTCTCTGCATTTCATCCAGAGTCACCATGGGCCTCTTGGCTGCCTCTCTGATCAGTGATCTCCTTGTTCGGCCTGTAAGTTTAGGTGGACGGCCTTGTCTTGGCAGGTTTACTGTGGTGCCATACTCTTTCCATTTCCGGATGATGGATTGAACAGTGCTCCGTGAGATGTTCAAAGCTTGGGAAATCTTTTTATAACCTAAGCCTGCTTTAAACTTCTCCAAAACCATATTCCTAACCTGTCTGRTGTGTTCTTTGGACTTCATGATGCTGTTTGCTCCCCAATATTCTCTTAACCAACATCTGAGGCCGTCACGGAGCAGCTGTATTTGTACTGAGATTAGATTACACACAGGTGGACCCTTTTGAGTCATTAGCAGTCATCAGGCAACTTCTGAATGCAATTGGTTGCACTCAGGGAAAAGGGGGCTGAATAMTTTTGCACGTCACACTTTTCAGTTTTTTATTTGTAAAAAATGTTTTGATTCATGTAAAATTTTGCTTCCACTTCACAATTGTATACCACTTTGTGTTGGTCTTTCACATTAAATTCCAGTGAAATATATTTAAGTTTGTGGTTGTAATGTGACAAAATATGGAAAAGTTCAAGGGGTATGAATACTTTTGCAAACCACTGTATGTGGAAAATTACATTGAAAAAAAAAATAAACATTGAATAAAAATGTAAGATATTAAATGTGCTGGATTCTTTTTTTATTGCCTCTAATTGTTGTCTTCTCTCTCTGTCTGGTTCTTTCCTCATTTTCCCTCCTTCAGGGAGCTGCTCTCTTATCTATTTTTATCATTCGTCCTGAAAAGAAAGCAGACGGAGCCGAGCAGAAAGGAGCAGCAGCTCCACTCCTCTCAGTGCTGTCATGTGCACCACCTTCCYCTTTCTTCTACCTTACATTAGTCTTTATCAGGAAATGTCCCTCAGACTCTCCTTATCTTCATGTTTTAATGTGTTTCAACTCTCTCTCCTYATCTTTACTCCTATAAGATTCTTTATTAAAGTCTCAGTATGTCCTGTCTGTTCCTCTTCACTCCTGTCATTCCTCCTTTCTTCTGGCTGTAATAAGGCTTTCTTTGTGTGTGGAATGTGCAGGCCAATCTAAAGAAGTTCATGGACTTTATTCAGCACAATCAGGTGGACAAAGCAGCTAAGATGCTGGAGAGAGGTCTGGATCCCAACTATCATGACAGTGACACTGGAGGTGAGGCTGCAAGAGACAAACATTACAGGACAACACTAAACCTGTGTGTTGTTTTATCATATTTTTCATTTAATATAACTGGGTTCACACTGGTCCAACATGACCCGACTGTCTTTGTTTCAGGTTTTTGTAATATATTGTGTTTGGAAACACTTTTACCAGATTAACTGTAAAACAATATGAATACATACAGTGTCTCATCTGAACCAGAACAAGGTTTTTACTGCAGAAGAACTTGTTCCAGTTTTTTATAATAAGTGTCTGAAACACTCTGACTGAGAGGGTTTTATGACCTGTCTTTAAAAAGGTTCTGTCAGATTTTATTCACATAATATTAAATACAGTTATGAACTGCCTCGATGCAATTTGAAAAGATTTTCCTTCCTTTTCTCTTCTGCATCCTGTTAAACCATTAAAGCTCTGGGCCTGGTGCAGCAGGACCTCCTGAAGCTGGTCTGGACCCGGTTCTTGTCCCCCGTCATGGAGACAAGAGGAGGACATCCTCTGTATGTCCATCCTGGGAAAAATTTAAATCTGCTGGTGGTCCAGAAGAGTGTCAGCTGTTTTCTCTGGTCATGTTTGGAGAAAGTCAAAAAGATTTTATTTAGATGATTCAGTGTTTCAGGTTTGAATGTGTGACTTCAGGAAATAGTTCCTGTAGTTAAAATATTAGTTTTCCTGTTTGTGTGACACAGAGCAGGTGATGTCACAGGTGATGATGTAACCTGGTGCAGCAGGTGATGTCAGAGGTGATGATGTAACCCGGTCCAGCAGGTGATGTCAGAGGTGATGATGTAACCCGGTCCAGCAGGT